TGTTTTGTATCGTGAATTATTTCTTTGATGACTTGTCTCTGTCTTCTTCTAACGTAAAATGAATGCTGATTACTTTTTTGCTCACGTTAATATAACCTCAGTTGTTTTAGCCCACAAAAGTGCCTTTCTAAAAAATTTACTAAAGCTTGTCTATGTCGAGTAATTTTCAGAATACATATGCAGAAAACGAATTTTCCAAAATTCATAATTATAAGGATCCACAATTCTTGCATACTGAGTACAATAGTCATATGGAATTTTAGGCAATTAATCGAAAATTTCTTCTTTGTCCAGTATTTTTATGGTTCAGTAGTCGTATGTTCAATGCAGCCTCCCCGACATTGGTCTTTCCATCAGAAATCTGTAGTTTATTCAATTGAGCACTAAACCAGACTTTGAAAGGTCAAAAATTAGTGGAGAAAAATTAGTAAATTGCTCAATGCAGTTAAACTGGTCAAATGGCGTTTAGCCTAAGTGCATGAAGTACGTCACTTTTTGATTAATTACCATCGCTAGCTTAAAATTTTAAATGCCAATTAAAAATTAGGAAAGGTTTGATGTACATGCATGCATTTCTGGTTGGTTGTTAGTTTGGTACCTTGAATCCTGACTTAGACGTGTGACTGAAGCAGTCAACCACAAGGCATTAAACTAATAAGAGACATATAATTACTAGACATAATGCTTCCTGCCATTCGCTTGCTGATGTGGGAGAGAGTAGTGACTTAATCGACAAAACCACAATGACTGTTTATTTTTTCGGTTATTCAAATTAATGAATGCTACTAAACAAGGTGACATTAAATGTGGACGTAGCTACCGTTCAGAAGCAGTGATATCACTTTATTCATTCAGTGTCTTCGATAATGTGCGGTTTAAAATCATGAGCTGACATTATCCAGGAAATGTTCAACTGAGAAACAGATCCACTGATTATGGAAGCCACCAATGCTTGAAGATAAGTAAAGGAAAAGGCCCTTGATAAATTCATCGAATATATTTCATTTTGGACGGAGAACCTCGTAGTATTCAAGCTCAAGAATTCCATTCGGAAATACCTCGGGCCTTAACCACGGCGCTTCTGGAGATTCTATGCCGTAGGCAGCGAGCAGCGATTTCGCTGCTCGTTCACGAAGTTTTCCCGGACAAGTGATCCATCGTCTCAATTGTTTCCTCAACTGTGGAAGAGTACCATACAATGACGAGTCAGATCCTCGTTTAGAGTTTGCTGGTGACACCAGTTCAGGGTAAGAGAGGCGGTTGGGAAGAAGAGGAACGCATCCGACCGAGACGGCTTCCACAACAGACACACCGAAGAACTCGTGGTGGGCTGTCGAGACGACGACATCGCAGCTCGCCAACTCGAGCCAGTAGGCTTCACGAGACTCCACAAAGCCCCATGCCGAGACGACGCCGGCCGCGCGCAGCAGGGGTTCGGCCATTGAAAAGATGCACGGCGCGTCCTGATTGGACGCCCCAAGGACACTCGCGGTGAATTTGAGGTTAGAATGCGCCTGAGTGGAGAACGTGGAAACAGCCTCCTGACAGACATCGCCGACGGAGGGCCTGAGTGTTGTCATTCCACGCTGGAAGAAGTCCTCATCTACGGTTATCCCCGCGAGGGAGAAGATGACCTTGAAAAAATCCACGGGGTTCTTGTCATATTCCCATCTAGGTAATAAGTTACAAAATCAATACCGTTTTAGGGTTGTGCGTCAAAGTTGAGCACATGAATATCCTGTTGCATAACTACTCCCAATAACGTCACTTCATTTGATCAACCCCATAAATGATAATTCTTTTTATTTAAGCGGGTCAATGCCTGCACAGACTGCTCATTCTGACATGTCATTCGACCTTACGCCTCCCCCCATGGGACCTTGTGTTTGTCACTGATTTATGCAAACCAAGAAAATCCAGCTACAAATTCGTGGACGCATGTGTCTCAGACATTGGTCATGGGATTCGTCAAGCCGCGCAAATTGAACTTGGCATTCCAGCCAATCAAATGTTTGGAAGCCACCCGCCACAGCGAGTTAGTAGTGAGAGGGCACTCGATCTACTAGGAGCTATTTGCAAGATCGGGCGTTCGACTGCTTGGTG